ACAATATCATCAACTTAATCCATTAATTCTTGTGTTTAGCCTCAATTGGTCAAATTGCATTCATGTTTATTTTATTGCATTTGCATCCAAAAACCCCAAAAATTTTTCTTTAGAGTCTTAATTAGTTGAGTAATCACATAACTGTTTAGTATCGTGAGTCTCTTGGGAAACGATATTTGGTCTTACCATTTATTATTACTTGATACGATTTGGTACACTTGCCGAGGTCTTAACAAGNAGGTGGTATGGCTTCAGATGTAAGAAGTGTTCCCTCAGTAGAACACCTAAATTTCAAACTTCTTTGCAGCTTACGCAAATTACTTTCGACTTTCGGGTTAATTTGATAAAATTCTCCCGGGTTAGCTCTGGTCATGCACTACGCAATCTACTTGAAGTTTTTTCTTTGTTACTTCTCTTTTTCTTTTGTTCTTGCTTTAGAGAAAGATTTCAAATAAGAGATAAGAGAGACTTGTTGGGTCCACTCCCAGGAAAGAGAGGTGTGTCACAATGGACAACTTAAGTACCAAGTCTTTCCTAGCAAAGTGTATTCAAACTAGCCTCAAGTATTTCTCAAGAGAAATTCTTAATTAAAACAAGAACAAAGATTTTTTTGCTAAAACAATAATGACTAAAGACTACAAAATAACTCAAATTAAATTAAATGTATGTGCGTTAAAAAAATAATAAAAAATAAAAAATAAAAATAAGAATCAAAATATTCAAAATACTAACCGTATTCCCCGACAGCGGTGCCAAATTTGATAGGCTATCGTTGAAGGTATCAAATTAATACTATTTTTCAAGGCAACTTCAGTATTGCCAAGTAGTATTCAAGAAAGTAGATAGGGTTAAAGTAACCCTGAGTCGTCTCCCAACGAATACGGAATTGCCTTTTAATATTTGAATCTTATGAATGCAATGCAATGTTCAAGAATAAAAATGATGTTTCGAGAAGGTTTAAAGAACAAATAAGAAACTTAAAAACGATTATAATGAAATAGGCTAATTCCACTTCTTTTCCAAGATAGATTCATCATCGGTTATTCATAGATAATTGTTCAATTGATTATTATTTAAGTTTCAAATTAATTAAAGTACATTCTTAATTAATTTGAGAGCGATCATGTACTTAACCAAAGTAAATTCTCAATCAAATGCAAAACCTTTCTAGATTATTCACAATGAATTCAACCAAAGTACATTCTCAATCAAATCCTATTGTGTTTAATCATGTCTATTCTTAAATCGCCTAACCAAATTAAAAACTAATCAATCAAAGTAAATTCTCAATTGATTATAGTTGAAATTATTACTACCAATCAAAGTACATTCTCAATTGATAGTAAAAACCATTTAATCATATGAAAGTTCCTAAATTAAATCAAAGTAGATTCTCAATTAAACCTAGAAACCCTAGAACTCATATAATCAATATGCATGTAGATTCAAACACATTACGATGCAAAAATCTTTGCTTTTAATTTGATAGAGAGATGAAACACATAGAGAGAGAACAACTTAAATCAATAATCAAAATAAACAATTACATTAACTCAATCTAACCTCAGAATCCATAATGGAATTACAGCAGAATAGCCCTAGATGCTTAGCTCTCCATGAATGGAGTTGAATACAAGATGAAATAAGAGAGAGAGAAGTGGTGAATGAATAAATGAAGTGAAGTCCCTTTTCTGTCTCCCCTAGGTCTCTTTATATAGGGCTTGATTGGGCTTGGACTCTGAATATTCAGTTGATAAAATCTTTTATCTTATATCTTCCAAATAAATAAAAGATTTAGATAATTATAACATTATTTGGAAGATATTTTCTATTGATATTCAGAAATTAAATTAATTCAACAATTGGATTTTATCTTTTAGCTTTTCTGAATTTCCAAAATTACACATAAGCCCTGAAATTTCTTCTATCTGCACTTTAGCCCCAACTAAATTTCCCAAAATTGCAACAGAACCCCTGTTTGACCAACCTTGACCAAATTCAAAGCTGTTGACCAGTTTTGACCAGAGAGGCTGCACCCAATGAGGGACTAACACGTGTCAGCCCCTTTCCCACCCAAAATTAATGTTTCAGATTTGGGGGAAAGGGAGCTCCTATGCCTCTGCCTACGCCGCCTGCTTCAAGGAACTTCGCTTCTCTCGCATCAGAATTTTCGAATGGAGATGGCGGCGATTTCTTTGTTTCTGGGTTTGTTTGCAGGTCTGATTAATGAAGGAGAAGATGCCCCGCGCCATGACTTTCGAACAGCGGCGCTAAGGTTTGGCGAAGGTGAATTGCGCAAGGAGGTTGCGACGGCTTGTGCGATGTGGATCAGTATTAGGCAACGACCTTGCTGCTTACTGGTGGTGAGGATGATTCATGCGGCGACACATGAAGGAGGCTCTCGTGATGTTGGTGTCACGGCCTTGTGATTTTGGCAAGGATGGTTTGTGAGGAAGGTGAAGGAGATGACAACAAGGGAGAAACTGCCATGGTTGAGGCGCTGTGGTGGCCGGATTAGGGGTTTCGAAAGCGGCGGCCATTTTGCGAATGGAGGAGGAGCTCGCAGGTTTGATGGCGGCGGCCTTGGTGGTTGACGGTGGTTGTTGTGTGACGGCGCTGGCGATGAGGTGGTTGGTCAGATCTAGGGTTCATAGCGGCGGCGCGACATTGGGGTTTTCGACGGCGCCTTAGGGTTTGGATTGGGAATTAGGGTTTCTAGGGAGAAGATGATGATGTGGTAGAGGGGGGTGATGTGGCAGCATGTGGTTGGATAGCACTTAAGGTTTTAGATTGCCACATGGCATGATCTGGTGGAGTCTAGTTTAGGAGGGGTGTGTATAGGAAACTTAGGCAGGTGTAGTAGAAAAGGCTTAGTGTTTGTGCTTGGTTGTTGGCCTGTTTCACAAATAGGAGTGTATGTAGGGATTTTAGGAGGTGCAAGGGTAAAGTCTGTCTGTTTGGCCCATCTGTACCTTATTTTCCAAATAAAACCTGATTTTGGGCCTTGAATTGCCATTTGGACCAATAGAACTTATAATTTCAGCTGCACAAATAAACGTAAGAATTTCCAAGAATAATTTATGCAATTAAAATCACTTTTTAAGTCCCTTTTAATTCCAAACACAATATATCAAATCATCACAAATCCTCTTTAAATCAATCATTCAAGCACATGAATTTCATCAAAAAATTTAATTTTAAAGCATAAATGTGGGCATAAATATGCACTCATCAAAGTAGCAAGGAGTTGGAACCCAGAAAAGACATAAACAGTACCAGACCGAACGGTAGGATGCGGGAGAATCCAGACTGAACGATTACTGAGACAGACCGAACGGTTACTGAGACTGACCGAACAGTTACTGAGAGGAGAAGAGACAGACCGAATGGTTCATAACAGAGACCGAACGGTGTGAAAGTGGTGGAACTAGGCCGAACGGTTTGAGCAAGAAAGACAACTACCGAACGGTGTAGATTTGGGGATGGTGACGGCTCTCCTCTTCTCTTTCTCGGGTTTTTCTATCTCTTCCATTCTTTCATTCCATTGTTTATCTAGTTCTTCCATGACGATGAAGAACTAAACCTTATTTGTTCTTGGGAAAGATGTAACCTCTTAAACTCTCATGTATTGAATTGATTCTTGATTATATATGCTTTACTTCATTAATTGTTAGGGTTTTTCCTCTACACTCTATTCATGCTTTGTTTAACTCATTCAATTGCATGATCATTGATTTTGTCGATATGGACACTTACGGGGAAATCTAGAACTGGGGAAATTCTCCTGGAAGCAATATTACCTAGACATAGGAATAGGAGGATCGGTTGCCTTTAAGCTTTTGTGCGAATGTAATGCATGATTGATTGCTAGGGAGACAAGACATTATGAACTAGTAATTAGGAGTAGGTTTTCTTCACCGAGACATCGGGTTTAAGGTAAATTAGAAAGTGGCATTAACATTAATGAAGAAGATGAATTCATATACGCATGAGAGTAAATTAGATGAAATCTAAATCCAACAACAATATCATCAACTTAATCCATTAATTCTTGTGTTTAGCCTCAATTGGTCAAATTGCATTCATGTTTATTTTATTGCATTTGCATCCAAAAACCCCAAAAATTTTTCTTTAGAGTCTTAATTAGTTGAGTAATCACATAACTGTTTAGTATCGTGAGTCTCTTGGGAAACGATATTTGGTCTTACCATTTATTATTACTTGATACGATTTGGTACACTTGCCGAGGTCTTAACAAGTTTTTGACTCCGTTTTCGGGGATTAAAAATTTGTTTATCACCAACAGTCTCATTTTATTTAAGTCTTAATTAATTGAGTTATCACACAACTGTTTAGTGCTGAGAGTCTTCAGGGATACGATACTTGGTCTTACCATTTTATATTACTTGTGCGATTCAGTACATTTGCCGATTTATCAACAAGTTTTTGGTTTCGTTTCTGGAGATAAAAAAATATTGTTAACACTCAGTGGTGGTGCCCAAGCGTGAAACAATGCTTTTAGATCTAAGTTGGCGCTCAGCGGTGGCACCCAGGCGTGAAACAGTGGTTGCACTTCCAGCCTTTCATGACTCCAACTCCTTGCTACTTCAACTTCTTCATCCAATTCATCTTAATTCTTGCCAAAACAAGGAAAAAAAAGCATAAAACCCATCTAACTCTATTATTCTCACAACTGAAGCAAAAACATGATTTCAAGCTAGTTTCTAAGTCATAAAAGGGTGATTTTAATGTCAAATTTAAGTATGAAAATAACTGTTTTTGAATCGTTATCAGTATAGGGCAATTGTAGTGCGATCTTGCAAAAGGCACTTCCTCCAAAGGTTAAAGATCCAGGAAGTTTCACTATTCCCTGCACTATTGGGAGTCATGAAATAGGGAAAGTCCTAACTGATTTAGTGTCCAATATCAATTTGATGCCCTTATCTATACTTGAAAAGATTGGTGGTCTTGAAGTCGCGCCTACAAAGACGACCTTGCAAATGGTGGATAGATCCACTAAGAAGCCCTATGGTGTGGTGGAGGATGTTATGATTCGGATAGACAACCTTAGATTCCTGGTGGATTTTGTGGTGATGGAGATGGGAGAAATTTGGAGATCCCTATTATTCTTGGAAGGTCATTGATGAAAACGGCCAAGGTTATCATCAATGTTGATGAATGAACTATAGTACTCAAAGACCAAGAAGAGGAGGTGATGTTTAACGTCTTCAATGCTGAGCAACAGATCCAGGTGGAGAAGACTAAGCTCAAAGCTGCATATGAAGATGCACCAGGGACTAGTACAAAAGCTGCTAAGCCAGGCAAGAAAGGTAAAAATTGTTTTCTGTCACAGGTGAAGGAAGAAGAAAAAGACAACAAAGGAAAAAATGTTCATCAAGACTCCCTAGAAAAACATGAAGAATTCAAGCCATGCATATGAGTGAGATTCAATAATAAATTATGGGTGGTGAAAGAACTTAAAGCTGATGGATTGATCGAGATTGATTCTCTAAATTCAAGAAGAATGAAAAAGGTGAACAGGAAGCTGTTGAAGATAAGTTGGTGTTGAGACAAAAAAAGGGAACACTAAGATCAAAGATGTGATGTGAGCTTTATGGTGTCCAACTAATGACGTTAAAGAAGCACTTACTAAGAGGCAACCCAATGTTTTAAAAAATCTTATTTTAATTTGTTTCTTGTTTCTTTTTTTTTGAATTTTGTTATTTGAGTTGAATTTAGTTTTAGGATTGTTTGTTTTGAGTTTGTTAATTTTTGATTGCTTTAAAGTGTGCATAGTTTGTGTTTAGTGATGGATGTTTGTGGGGGTGAAGAGAGATTAATTGTTTGATTTGAGTGTTGATGTGTGAGCTGGAGCAACTGAAGCTTCAACTATGGAAGAGGACGCTGAGGATGAAGATGAGAATGAAGAAGAAGCTGAAGATGAAGAGGACTCTAATGATTATGATTGAGGATTGTAGATAGCATCTACTGATGGATGCTGGAAGATTTAGATGATAGAATCTACTAATGGATGCTATTTTGTCTCTAGAACAGGATTTCTTTTACTGTTTTTATTGATTTCATTGTTGAACTATATTTTGCTTCTGTTTTTATTGTCTTTGTTTGATTGTAGTATAGGGTATTGTACTTGGCTTGAATTAACTACACTACTGTGGTTCAATTATGCTGTGTTTTGTGATAAGTATTGCTTTGTGATGCTCTAGTATATTGAGTGATGTTGGGATGATGCATGATGTTCTTATATACAGGTGATGGATCATAGTTTGTATGAAATAGATGCTTGAGGTAAAAAATTGATTAAGACACTGAGCAGGATGTTTATCTGAATTTTGAACTTGAAAGTAACATGTGTGAGGTTTGGACTTCAGAGGTTTTTGTGAATAATTGCTATTACTTTGGAAGCATGAATGCTTTTGCCCAAATTATCTGTGATTGAACTACTTGCTTGCAGGTTTCATATGATCAAGGCCATATTTTGTTATCCCTTTTTAGCCTACACATGATTTTAGCCCAATAAAAAGAGAACAATTTGTTCTAACCTTTGAACTTTGAGCCTTAAGCATGTTTTGAAAACCCTGTTTGAAAATCTTTGCCTTAAGTTAAGTTGAGAACATTTGTGGGGTATTGATGAAGGTTCAAGTTTGGGGTTGCTGGGAAATTTTAGAAAAGAGATCAAAAGAAAAATCATTGAGCTAAGTAGTGAGCGAATGAAAAGAAAAAGCGAAAGAAAGGAAAAATGAAAAGAAAGAAAAGAAAGAAAAGAAAAGCTCAATGCAAGGGAAAGTTGGGAATAAGTGAAGATGGTTATGGAAAAGAGAGGTTGTGTTTGAATTCAAGGATTTTGTTGTCCAGAAAAAACAATTTTCTTCTTAAGCCTAGCCAAGCTACAAGCCGAGAAAAGACCTTGTGATGAAAACTTGCTTGTGAGTATAATTGATTGTGGTTAAATGAAAGGCAAAGTTAATTTGTGTGACATTGTCATAGTAGAGTGAAAGAGACATCAACACCTCACTATACACCTTTGAGTTTGAGTGATACACTTTTGAGTGCTTGAGTGATACACTTTTGAGTGCTTGAGTGAAACACTTTCCTTGGTGAGGAGTAGTTCTTTGAATTCATGGTTTCATCTTTTCTTGGTTGATTGATCATTCTTAAGGATATCATCTGTTGAAGTACATGAGCATCACATTGAGTTTGATTGAATTAAGGCATCTGTACATCTTGACTAACATCTTTATGATGAGCTGATAAAAGTAATTACTTGTCCTAGAAGAAAAAGTTTTGAATTTTGTTGAGCCATTGTAGTAATTGTTGAGAAAAGCTGAGTTACATTTTGTTTTGCTTGAGGACAAACAAATTTCTGAGTTTGGGGTTGTGATAATGGTTGAAAATATCGTTATCTGTGATGTGATTTTGATAGTAAATGCACTCTTTTCTACTTAGAAACTTGCTTGAAATCATGTTTATCTGTTAAGTTGTGTGAATAAGAGAGTTAAGGTTGAACTTGATGATTTTATGACTAAATTCCCTTGTTTTGGCAGAAAATGAAATAATATGGAAGCAGAGCTGAAGTGCCAAGGAGATGGAGCCCAGAAAGATCTAAAAAACCACTAGAAAGTAGGAACACCCGAAGCCTAAGAGTCCTTTTTGGAGCCCTCAGCACTAAAGCCTACCACACACCGCCTGGGCTGAGCGCCACTTTTCCTAAAGAAGCATGCCTGCTTGCCCTCCGAGTGAATATGAGCGCCAGTTTTAGTATCGCAGCACGCCCGGGCACCCTAAGTCGGGTGTTGAGCACTAGCCAGATGGGCCTGGGCTTTGTTTCTGTTTTGATTCTGCTCTATTTAAAGGACCCAGACTTCCTAAGTTTTGTATCTTTGGCAGAGGAGGCGCAACAACACACTTTTCCACTCTCTGAAGGCGGGTTTGGATGCGGGAGCCTTAATCTTCAACTTTTAGGGTTTTTCTATCTCATTCTTCTCCATTGTACATCTAGTTTCACCATGACAATGGGGAACTAACTTCTATTTGTTGTTGGGGGATGATGTAACATTGTGAACTCTCATGCATTTGAATTGATTCTTAATAATAGATGCTTCTTTCAGTAACTATTAGGGTAATTCTTCTATGATCAATGCTTGCTTTGTTTAACTCATTCATAGCGTGATGTATGAATTGCATGAGTGCCGGGAAGTTCCTTAATATTCAGGTTCTTGTAGAATTATTCCCAAGAATAGTATTTCTCAGGGATGGGGTATAAGTCTTGGTCGTCTTAAGCTCCTGATCTTAAGAATTAATTATTAGGGATGCTGGGAATCATATGAACTAGTAATTAAGGATAGGCTTTCTTCACCGAGGGATCGAGTTTTAAGTAATTTAGTGAGTGACGTTGACTTTAATGAAAGAAGAAGAATTCTTATATACATAAGAGTAAACTTGGTGAAATCTAACCCCAACAACATATTCATCTCATAACATAAACATCATCCGTTCATCGCTGTGCTACTCTTCAATTGATCAAAACTGCATTCATATTTAATTTTCTGTATTTGTATTCTAAACCAATGATTTCGTTCCTTTTAAGTCTTAATTATTCTAGTTATTACACGATTGTCTAGAGCCGAGATTCTCTTGGCAAACGATACTTGGTCTTACCATTTTATATTACTTGTATGATCCGGTACACTTGCCAGTGACTCAACATGCTACCTACCCATCACGTCCACAACAGAGAGGGAGACTTAGGCAACCCTTTAAATCCCAGGAGTCACTCTCGGCGTAGAGAATATGGAATAAGGTTAACCAATGAAACCACCCAAAACGAGAAACAATAGAAACCCAAGTCCCGCTCAACAACCATGCATACAAACAACATCGAGAAACCCTATATACCCAAGATATATCAAGTTACTCCCCTTACCTTATTCTCTTGAGCTTTTCTAACCACTTTGGTCTCTCCCGGTTTGCTGTAGAGAAGACTGACACTCCCTTCTCTTGCTTGGTAAGCCACTATTTTCATTCACCAAAGAGTTAGGTTCAACTCTCACGGTTACTCACCAACGCATGAGGCTAGGGTTCGTTCTTTTCTTTCGACCAATCCTCCCTCTATCTTTCCTAAAAGCAAGTTTTATAATATCTCTTCTAACCCTAAAAGAAAGTTTTATAATATCAAAGCTGCATAGAAGGTTCGAACACAACAAATTCTAGTGGACAAGCAAATACAAAAGCACTCAATTAGACCAGTCCTCACTGCTGAGGATTTAGTGCAAACATTAAAATATAAACACTTCTTCATCCTATTTTGAAAATTAAAACTAATATAATTATAAATTAATTTTTTATACAACCCTAAACACTTTTATCACCCAATAACTTGTCATAAATAAATATTTCCTATTAAAAAAAATAATAAAATAAAAATAAAAATAAAAGGTATGTTTATTTTATGTAGGGTCTTACATGTTGCGTTTTATGACGTAAATTTTTTCACCTATCATAATATGTCGAATATATTATGACAAGTAATTGTTCACCTATCATAATATATGCTTTTCAGAAATAAGCTTTTATTACATACATTGTTCACCTATCATAAAAACCTGTTTTGTAAAAAAAATTCATTATTACATTTGACCTATCCAATCAATTTACAATTAATTTCCTTTATTATCATCTCATCAATCAATTTATAATCAATATAACATGAAATGAACATATTCAATTAAACTAACATAATGAAATTCATTTAAAACATTAAATTGTCTAATAATATTTAATACATAATTTGTACATCAAACCATACATTATATCAAAATATAACATTAACCTACACTACATTGTAGTCAAGTTTCTAAAATTTACTAACACTTAAAATAAAAGAAGCCCACTTGGTTTTAATGTCTTCAATGTATGGAGCTTCCATTGGAGATGAATCATTAAAGATCTACAAATAAAATAATTAAGTTAAAACAATTTTATAATGAATAATTAGATAAGTATTTAATCATTTTTTATAAAGTAGAATCAAGCTAACCATGGATAAGTGAAATAAATAATGGGTATTTAGTGAATGTACTTGGAGAGAGTAAACTAAAACAGATTTGGTTGGCAAGCTTTTTAATGATATGAGTCTGTTAGCATTCCCACTTTTAGAATATTACATATTTTACATTATTTTTTTTCATTTTCTCTCTCTTCATCCCATCAACTATCTCGTCTCACGATATCTCTTCTCTTCCTCCTCTCTTGTTACATAATTTTCTGTAACAATACAACTTCTCTAAAAATCATATGCCATGCCATGTCAATTACATTTGATTTAAATCTTTAAATTTACAATTATCCCACATTCAATGTCATGACATCCATTATAAGTATAGGCATTGATCTGATAACGATTGAATTTACCTCTATTTGATACTTAATTTTGATACTAAAAACACCCTTTTTGACTTAGAAACTAGCTTGGAATCATGGTTTTGAGGAATAAAGAGAGTTGAAGGTGAATTTAATGGTTTTGTGCTAGATTTCCTCGTTTTTAACAAGAATTGAGAGGATTTGGAAGAAGAGTTGAAGTAGTAAGGAGTTGGAACTCAGGAAGAATTGGAAAAGCATCAGAAAGGAGGATAGCAGCAGCGCTGACCGCTACTTTAGGGGCCCTCAACGCCAGAGTACATTGTCTCACGCTTGGTTGCCCTTTTCAGAGGCGTTGAGCGTAACTTCCTCGAGTCGTACCACGCCTGCTTACCTTTTGAGCTGACCTTGAGCGCCAGTTCTAACCCACACACCACCTAGGCGCCCTAACTGGGGTGTTGAGCGCTAGTCTCATGGGCGTGGACCCATTTATGTAATTTTTATGTTCTATTTAAGGACTTGGACGTCCTAGGGTTCACATCTTTGGACGGAATAGGCACATAAACACACTCTTTGATCATTCGGAGGCAGATTT